GACTGTGATGGACTCATCACGAGGCCGGCATCATCGTTACGTTAGGTCCATCGCCTCTAGGTTGGAGGCCATCGCTAATAGGCTAACCTAATCGCGATGGCCATCCAAGCTTCATTGATCTTTTCTATCACTGATACCGCAGACCGTCAAAAGCGCAGCGACACCCACTTGAGTTTCAACACGTCTAGGTCCATTGAAAGCGTGTTGAAATGGCAAAGCACCATCTACTGCATGTTTTTGCACATTTGCCCCCCAAAGCCGTTTGTTTAAAGCGCAACCCGAGCAACGAAACCTATCCTTGCACAAGGTTGGTGCTAGTGAAGCTGGGAGGAAATGACCCCATTTGTCATGAAGGAGTTTGAGAGGGCAGAAGAATCACCACGCCAGAGCGTGTCAACGCACTACCGCCTCATCCATGTGGGAACCCCACTAGTTCCACAACATTCCTACCACTTCCGCCTGTCATAGGCCGCAAAGTCATAGAAGGCAAATTTCTGGAGGCGGGCTGTGTGCTGTGTTTGAAAGATCTGCAGTTTCCTTTAAAGCCATTACAAGTGCATCGCTACTAGTAACAAGTGCCTTACTAGTAGTAACAAGAAGCTATTAGTAACAAGTGCCACGCTACTAGGAGCAAAGACGCTAACTAGAAGGCCTGTCATGTTAAGATGCCTGCGAAGGCAATTCCATTCCCTCATTGTCACAAAACTCTCAAGCTCTGTCTGATATGGCCTTCTAGTTGAATGTTTATTGCTCCTAGTAGCGTGGCACTTGTTACTAATAGCTTCTTGTTACTACTAGTAAGGCACTTGTTACTAGTAGCGATGCACTTGTTTAAAGAAATCATGACGTTCTTTAATTCGACGCTTTTTCAAAAGAAAAAGTCATGTTTGGTGAATATTCGACGTGCTGTTGAGGCACTGTTCGATTTTTGATGCGCTGGACGTGGGAATTGTCAACCTCAACTTTTCTTAACACGTCGCAGAGTTAAAGACAGGTTTCTCTTTCGTACTGTTTGACAGCAAGTCGTGTTCCACGCGAGGTTTGGAAAAGCATGTTCTCAACGTGTGCAAACTCACATCCATGGGCCTCCAAACGTGGTAGTAACAAGCGACGCTAGTAGAAACAAGTGCATCGCTACGTTCGTTACTAAGTGACTTAGTAGTAGTAACAAGAAGCTAGTAGGGGCTCCTGGCCTTACTACTAGGAACAAGGACGCTACTAGTAACAAGTGCCTAAGTAGTAACAATGTTTGCAAACGTAGAAACTAGTAATCATGCAAACCTGCTTCTTTACGCTCTAAAGAACTCAAGCGCTAACATTCAAACTCTACACTTGTATTGGTGTTGGGCGCTTGCCGACTTGAGTCGTTTTGGGTTACATGAGCTTGACAAATTCTACAGCACACAGATGTGCAAGTAAGGCTGCACAAGCTCACAAGCAACATGCCAAGCCCCACGCTGCACAAACTCACAACGCCAACCCTGAAACAGCGGCTGCTGTAGAAGGCGTCTTCCCAGTGGACTGACGAAGTTCAAGTATTGACGCCGTGGATCTATCCAGGGATCATTTTCTGCGGTGAAACTGACAAAGGGTACAGTTTTTCCCTTGATAGCAGACGGGCCTTGCAATGGTCATACTCTGTGACAATGCCGTCTCCTTTTGGATGATGTGCTCCCGTTCCAAACCAGGTGGTTGTACACGTGAAATACTCCAGTGGTACCCACTGCGCTAAAAGGAAGCGCGCCTAGGTTGGAGGCCATTGCTATTAGGTTAGTACTTGCCTTTTAAGTCCCATGTGGTGTTGGCGCGCACGTTCGCTCGAAGAAGAGCTGGTGGACTATGAATTCCTGCACGCAAGTTAGGCGACGAAAGCGCGTGCAAGTAAGGTCCCGCCTTGATTGGTGGTTTGCTGCGGCGTTCCTTCTGGATCTGATACTGGTGGTTGTGGTGCTGCTGCCGCTACTGTTGTTGTTATTGTTGCCGATGCTGTTTTTGTTGATGTCGTTGTTGCTGTTGCTGATTCTTTTTTGTTTTTCTTCAACCCCTTTTGGGAATCTCCTAACTCACTGTTTTGCTGAGCTGATGAGTTTTGCTCACGACTCTATCGAGGTCGAGAAGCAAGTGAGCGGGCTGGAAGGACTGCAACATCACACTAGATATGTCGTTTTTCAGTCCGTCGCCTTCAGTCCTTTAGTCCGTCTCTGCTGAAAAACAGAGGCTTTGCCGCTCTTGATGCGCATTGTGTGATGGGCGCGTAGCGTCGACAGGACCAATCCAGGAGGCACGGTGCGTTTTTTTTCGTTTGTTGTTTGTGATGTTGAGACAAGTAGGTTGGAGGTCATTGCTAGTAGGTTTGTGATGTTTGTGATGACAGTTTACTCAGGTGAAGGACTCATTGCAGAAATTCGCGACCTTGAACCAAACCGTGGCCAATGCCTCGCAAGGCAAGCTTTGACGTGCCGTGATGGATTTGTTTGTGCATTTTCCAAAGCAACTCTGGAAGTTTGGTTCTCCGCAGGGTTGTGCGTCTGAGTTTAGGAAGACGAACGTGGCGATGTGACTAAATGTTTACGTCTAATTATATACTTGCTCCTAGTAGTAGTACGGCCAGGAGCCCCTAATAGCGTCCTTGCTCCTAGTAGCGATGCCAGGAGCCCCTAGTAGCTTCTTGTTCTCTGCATTTTTTTTCAAAACTTTCAGCGACGCCAGCAGCAGTTTTTCGGGGGCAGGCGTAGCGGGGCGCAAAGGGAAAGCAAGTTCGTTCTGTCAAAGCCTCTAGCTGTCAAGGATAACGTGCTCAAGTCAAGCCTCATACCCAACGCTGCAAGTCAAAGCACATCAATTTCTAGGTTTAAACACATGCACTATAGGTTTGTGCTGTTGTAGCTCAGCTGGTGTGCCAGGTAAGCCATGGCAGAAAAAACGGGAGAAGAGTAGATCTCCGGCTGGAATAAAGACGCAAAGAGATTTCAAACAACACAGGTGAAGGAGGCACAATGATCTAATGATAGAAAACTCAATTGATTGGAGGCCATTGCTATTAGCCCAATAGCGATGGCCTCCAGCCTAACGCCTCCGAGTTGCACCACACTGACCTTTCCCGAATGCAGAACGATCGGAAAAGAGTTGAAAGAGCCAACGCAGAAAGCCTCACAGACCTTCTCCTGTTTGCGCCTTGTTTCTACTAGCGTCCTTGTTACTACTAGTAAGGCACCTGTTACTACTAGCGATGCACTTGTTTCTACTAGCGTCCTTGTTACTACTAGTAAGGCACCTGTTACTACTAGCGATGCACTTGTTTCTACTAGCGTCCTTGTTACTACTAGTAAGGCACTTGTTACTACTAGCGTTGCACTTGTTCCTAATAGCTTCTTGTTACTACTAGTAAGGCACTTGCTCCTAGTAGCGATGCACTTGTTCCTAGTAGCTTATTGTTTCTATTAGCCTTCTCCATGCACTTGTGGACATTGCCAGCTCAACATGCAGCCTACGAGGTCTTTTCTCTTTCCTCGCTGTCCTCACATTTCGTTGAGATGTGTTGGCTACACGGCTACGCGCATGGTTTGGACTCTTTACCTGTATGGATGTGTTAGGGTTTAGGTGTTTTGTTCAGGTTTCGTGTCCAGGTTTCCTTTACCTTTACAGTTACATGTGTTGATGCGATGTTCCTTTTTCAGATGAGTTGGTGAAATGCATGCCTTTCTTTTGCAGGTACACTTTGAACGTGTTGCTTCTTTGTAACGTTCAAAACGGCCTTAGAGTCGCCACCCGTTTGAACTCTCCACCGAGCAGGAATCGTGCGAGTGATTTGAAGGAATCGGTGACTTCATCAGATCTGCGGCAAAAACATTGCAAACACCGTTGGCATGGTTGTCACAACTGACTGTACACCTCACACAGTTACACCTCACACTGTCCAAAGTGATCCGCAGCGGTTTCACACACAGGCCTTGAGTCAACCAATTCCGAGCTGGCAGAGGCGCCTGTTCCTGATGTGTAGTTCTCCGACTTGTCCTACTTTCAGCACATGTTGCGTGAAAATTGTAGGTTGGAGGCCATTGCTGGAATTCATTCTTACAAGAAGCTACTAGTGACAAGTGCCACGCTAGTAGTAACAGGTGCCTTACTAGTAACAAGAAGCTACTAGAATTCATTCATTCGCTATTAGCCTCCGCGAGGTGGAGGAACAGGTAGCAGATCTTCGAGACAAAACCGCCGAGATGGACCACTCAGTCAGTTCTGTCCAAGGCTGTCGTGCCGCTGGGATAGACGTGCCACGGCCGTGCGCTACGAGGTGAAAGTGCCACGGCAGAAATGCATCTGTCGAAGCAGGCGGAACGACGGGCCGACGGGGGTAGGCCGGTGGAAGAGGGAGGTAGTAGCTAGAGAGGTAGCTAGTAGAAGCAAGGTCGGTAGCCAGTAGCTTACTAATACGCTACTACCGACAGGACGCGGGATAGCTCATGCTGCACTAATGATTTGGTCCTAGATTTTTAGGGAAACTTCACACTCGTCCTTCTCTTAAATCCAAACTGTTGTGGTGCGTGGAAGGTTGAAGACGTAACACAAGCCAGCAAAGACCTAAAGATCAAAGCGGAAGGCCAATTCGATTGCGTTAGAGAGAAAACAACATGTTTTTCACGGGACCTGAAAAAAAAGGAACATGAAAAGAAACACCTTATTTTTTATTTTCCTACTTGGCATCGTTTTTTAAGACTTCTTGGGTCTGCCGGTTTTTCCGACCATTTCGAGGCGAGCAGCGGAAGGATGTCGGATTTGCCAAGCGTATTGGTTCGGTCCGATGCCAAGCGCTGCGAACGCAAAGCGGAATTCCAAAAACCAATTCAAACCAAATTGCTATTGCTCCTAGTAGCGTTCTTGTTCCTAGTAGCGATGCCCTTTGCTCCTAGTAGCTTACCAATTCTCCGAAAAGTTGGGATGTGTTTCTAATTTTAAATCGTTTTAATGCTAGCGATGGCCTCCACCCTCCTTTTCTCTTGCATTGTTTGAATTCAGGTGGAAAAACAGATGAAGGATTTGAACGAGACAGTTGCTGATTTAAATCAGACCGTGACTACCATGACCGGCCCATCAACAGGCGGGTACTTTGAACAGTTTTAAGCTTCTTGCAAACTACCTTGTGCCTTAAGGAACAGGATAAAAGAAAAAGAACGGCAGGAAGGAGTTAAACATAAGAACATAATAAAACACATAGAAAAGAAACCGTTCTCTTTCGTTCGTCCGTCCTTTATTCTTGGCGAGGGTACCTTCGGATCAGGTCGAACTGGACTCGAAAACTCGCGCAAGCGCTGCCTCTCCGGAGGGAGACATTCGTCTAGCTGGATCGTTTGCTTCAGATGTTTCCCTTCCCAGCGCATCTGGGGAATCTGGGGCGGGCCCAAAGGCTTGTATCTTCCTCTCATACTTTGGCGGTGCAAGGCCCACTTGTGACCTTCCAGAGATGTCTTTGTGTCTCTAAAGATTGCAAATGACGATGCCGCGGGTTCTCCGGGACATTTGGCCATGTCTTTGGAATCTCAGTGTGGAGCACACTTTGATGCAGCTCTCGACCGAAGACATCTCACCCCATTCGGGCGCAGCTCTCATTTGTGGAGGGTCAGCATGTTTTTCCCTCTGGGTGATGCGAACCACATCCACTCGAGACATCGCTAGCAGGGAAACCTAAGACAACCTTATAGCAAAAGGAACCTAATAGCACGCTCTTCCGTCTGGGTGAGGTTGTGAAAAACACCCAATCGAGACTTTCCCTGACATGAGGATTTAGCGCTTTGTCCTCCAAAAGCCTTCGGCATGAAATTGATCCTGGTCATTGCGACAGCATCGCCAAGGCATATGTGGCTGCCCATTCGTGCTGTAAGAGTGCCCTAAGATCTCCTCTTCCACAACGATGCCGCTGCGTTAGGGGAACGCGGCACAATTGCAACCGGCTGCGCTATAGCTACTAGGAGCAAAGGGCATCGCTATTAGGAGCATTCCCTCCTCAGATTGTGATGTCAGCCACCATGTCCCTCCGCTCGCTTGCTGTTGCTGTCGCTGTGTCTCTCTCTCTGGAAATGGCGTCCACAGGTCCAAGAAACGCAGAGGAGTCGAAGCAGGCTTGCCTGGTGCAAAACGTCTTATCTCTCAGTTTTGAATGCAATATCTTGAGCAGGACGGACGGACTGTGGAGTCGGGATGTTTAGTATGAGCTTTGCAGGTTGGGGCCCTTCCCATGAAAGCGGATGTATCTTGGAATGCATAGTAGCGTTGGCCTTCAACCTAATACTAGCTTACTAGCGGCCTCTAGCCTAACAAGCGATGGCCCGATGGCAAAACGTGTCAACATGGCGCGGTGTGATTTCTAAGGATCGGCCAAGCGTGTCGAAAAAGAGTTTGCGCTGATTCCTCGTAGCAAACATTGTTACTACTAGTAAGGCACCTGTTACTACCAGTAAGGCACTTGTTTCTAGTAGCGTCCTTGTTCCTAGTAGTACGGCCAGGAGCCCCTAGTAGCGAACATTGTTAGTGAGTTTGCGATGTGCCGACACGAAGATTTTCGGAATCAATGAGCGCCTCCCGCAACTCTTTGACTTGTGTGGCCCGTCAGATTCCTTTCGCAGAGCTGAAGTCCTTGCAGGCTGAAATTTTTGTTTGTGTTGTGACAGAGAACCATTCTTGACCATGATGGCTTCAGAAAGCTTTGCTCCATTGTTTGCACCTGTTGCAGAGACGATTGAATTGTTTGAACCATTGTTCCCGATTACATTGGCTAAACCGATTACACCGGCCACACCGACAACACTGGTTGCGAAGCGTAACTAGCGTAACCAGCGTAGCGGACACGCTTTGCCATGTCGCTCGAACCCTTCTTATTTAACGGAAACCTAGGGATAAGAAGCTACTAGGAACAAGTGCATCGCTTCTAGTAACAAGTGCCTTACTAGTAGTAACAAGAAGCTACTAGGGGCTCCTGGCCTTACTACTAGGAGCAAGGACGCTACTAGGGGCCCCCGGCACGCTACTAGGAACTCATCTAAGACCCTGGGACCCAATGCCTACATTGCCGTTCAAAAGGTCAACAAATCGATTGGGCTCCGGGTGTTTGATGCGTCGCGCACTGGCGATGCTGCAGGTTGGGTGTTGAGGTTTTTACAACTTTGGCACCAAAAGGACCGTATTCTCGGTGTGCGTTGCAAGACTAGCATCCCTAAAGAGTGCAAATACCGATCCTATTCCTCTCCCAAAACCCCTTTCACCACCGGCTACAAGGAAGTGGTTTTGATGGTGTTTTTGTAAAGCGCCGTCAAAAACAGCCGTACTTACGCAGTTCTGACCATAGCGCAACCATTTGCAAGCTATGCCTTTACATCTGCCATGTGCGAAACACCGTAATTTACTACGAAGGTTTAGCCACCTGGCCGCCTTTAGGGCGGTGGGAGGGGCTGCCTTGAAGAAGAGCTTTCCTGCGTCCTAGCTATGAGCTTCCTAGCTACGACTTACCTCTTCCTACTCGCTACTAAAGTCTACTTGCAATGGCCTCCAACCTAGGAGCGATGGCCTCCACCGAAGCTTACTAGCTCACTTAAGCGAAAACAGGTTGCGATTCATGCTCCAACGCACTCTGGGCTGGTAGACGTGCCCGCCATCCGGCGCTCGGTGCAGGGCTCGCAAGCCTTCTTTTCACTTGGGGTGCTTTGATTGTGTTCATGTTGTGGCAGAACACTTTGAATGCTAACATTTAAATACTTCTAGTGGTGCGGCTTTTAGTTGCCACGAGGTTCCGTTGGTCGTGCTGTTCAGTTGCTTTGAACGTACTTGTAGTGGCGCTTGAAACCGGGAATGGTCACATGTTCCGTCCTCTCACGACGCCCAACCGGCACAAATTGACAATCTTTTGACTTCGGTGCCCCTCTTGAGACCTTATTTTCGCATGCAAAGTGAGATGCATTACACCCGTTTAGAGTTCGACCCTAAAGAAAACCATTTTAAGTGTACAAAACCGTCTCTTTTGTACAGAACTGTCTGACTAGGGTCTGAACTGAGGAAACTAGTCAGTCTCTGAGGCCTCGTGAGGTCCACAAAATGTGTTTTAGATCCTCATTAGATCAATGTGTTTTAAGTAGTTAGACAATGTTAGACATATTTGGCCATGTTCGGCCGTCATTAGAGCAGATGTACAAACAACACAATCTCAAACCCAATGTGCAATGTTATTTGTGAAGCTTTGCTACTGTTAGCTTTGCCAGGACGCCTGTGCAATACGTTAGTTTTCAACGAAAAAAACACATGGTGGCGCTGCTCACGAGAGAGGGCTGTGCACCACCGCCATGGCGGTGCTTTCGCCGAAATTCTGTCAAAGGGGGCCAGAGCCATCGGTGTCTTGGCGCAGCTCTTCAGACCTTTGAAGTTTTCCAAAAGGAGCTCCTAGTAACAAGTGCATCGCTAGTAGTAACAAGTGCCTTACTAGTAGTAACAATGTTTGCGAACGTAGAAACAATAAGCTAATAGTAGCTTCTTGTTCCTAGTAAGGCCAGCCCCTAGTAGCGTCCTTGCTCCTGGTAGCGATGCCCTTGCTCCTGTTGCGAGTGTTGAATCGTGTGTGCAAAACTCACAAGCCACTTGCAGGCAACTACTCACTCTTGCTCCATCGCTGATTCGACACATCGGAAGGTGACTTTGTTTGGAGGCCCACGCTCGTTTTACTTTGGTTTTCAGAGCGGCGCGCGAGAGGATCGAGCAAATCACCAAAGTGGTGGAAACGTCGCTATGTTTGCGCCAGGCACTAGGTTTTTTGGGGGTTGATTGAACCGACGCTGTTGGTGAATGTTTGGGACCGTGTCGCGTTTGGCTGGTGTGTGGGCTGTCGGGCGTGTGGAAGTACATAATTCCATTCCCTGTGCTTCTAGGGTGGAGGCCATCGCTAATAAACGCACAGGACCCCTTTGTTTCTGCTGGCGGGTGCCACAGCTTCAGAGTGGATGTTAACCTGCTAACAATGGGTGGTGCAGGCGGTGTGGGTGTTCCTTTTGCTTAAACGATTTTGATGGGAGAATGGCCTTTGATCATTTCGCTCACCACGAGGTTCACTAGATCATCCGAGATTTACATGAAGTCCTAAGAAAGAACTTGGTCAAGTAGCGTCTTTTGTGACTAGTAGCAATGCCCTTTGCTCCTAGTAGCGTTCTTGCTCCTAGTAAGGCCAGGAGCCCCGTTCGTAGCGTCAAGTAGCGTGGATGTGTCAGGCCTAGAGTCTTGGGCTGGCCAGCCAGCTGCTCTTTTGCATGTAACGCGGAACGCTGTGTTCGCAGATGATGAATGCTCAAGGACTTGTGGTCGCTGTCTCCTAGTCTTACGTGTTGCAATTACGCATGGTTGGTGAAGTGGTATCCATTTACACAGGATCAGTGGGTAGATATTTTGTGTTTGGGAATCAAAACAACAGCCAGCAAGTTAAGACCACACATTCCAAGCCATGCAAAAACCGGGGCCATTGTAGCACCCGCCACCTTGTTTCTTGATCGGGTCCAGACATCAAGCCTGCATTTTGGCAGTGAGTTTTCTGGCTAGATGTACTAGCGCCGCACTAGTAGTATGCCGGTACATCTTAGAATTTGGGAGGCAGTGTGACAGTTTAGACACATGTCATAGCACGTAGCAACTCAAGCAGCAGTAAGACAGGCGCGCTATTGACTTGTGCGAGGCTTGTCTCAATGTTTGACCAAAGGTTCCACCACAGCACCACTTTTTTACAAAAGACGCAAGAAGCGGTGCGGGGAGAATTTTGAATTGGCGACGCTTCCAGGAACATACATTTTGGAAGACTTTGCGTGAGTGCATTCCATCGCACTCTTTTCAACGACACACGTTCACTGATTCTATCCGGTCCCTTCGGGTCTATGAGCTTTACAAAAGTGTATAATTTACCGTTTTCATCCGCAGAAAACATTCTTTTGAACCCAAACCTTTCCGCAGTCCAACTACTAACATCTAACTACTTACTGTTTTCCTACTAGTCCATTCCATGCCACGGCCTACACCCAAGGAAGCGTGGACTGCAGTGGGCAGACTTGCCATTGTTTCCTTCGTCCCTTTGCTGTTTGGCTCTTCAGAGGCGAACAGATGGAGTTTCTTTTGAGTTTGTTTTCATGGCAAGTTTGAAGACAGCAGGTTGGAGGCCATTGCTAGTAGGTTTGATCTATTTTTTCCGAGTCGCCGAGCAAAGCCGAGAGGATAAACGAAAGAGCCGAAGTTCCCGGACCTGCCGGAAAAGCGCCAAAGTGGAGCGCACCGCGAATGTTCAGCGAATCAGGCAGCGCGGCATTGGATTCTGTTCGAATAAATAACCTTAGGGCCTTTATTGTCATTGTTCCTAATAGCTTCTTGTTACTACTATAGGAAGGCACTTGTTACTACTAGCGATGCACTTGTTCCTAATAGCTTCTTGTTAACATTTTCTTTTGGCGGTTGTATTCTTGCGGGTCACCGACATGCAACGTGTAGCAAGTAGGCTGGATGAGGAAGAGACTATCGGTTTCCGAGAGGAGAACGGCTGCACCATTCTGGCTTGGGGACCTTGGATTCAGAACGTTTTGGTGCGCGATGAGGATTTCTTCCAAGTCTTTGAAGAGAAGGAGTGAGAATTTCATACACGGAAGAAAGCTACTAGAAACAAGTGCCTTACTAGTAGTAACAAGAAAGCTAGTAGAAACAAGTG